GGATTTCAATAGCAAGTGGCGGTGCGTCAGCCAGCAGCAAACTGCTCCTGAATCAGGGTGTCACATTATTGGATTTTAACGTTAGCAGACCGATCACTGTTGCACCCACGGGTGGGGTTTGTCCCAAGTTCTGTACAAAATGGATCATGTGGGGTGTCAAATGAAAGCTTATGCTCTGCTGATTCTATGCGTGGTACTCATGTACTTGTATGATGTTTGTATGTGGAGTTATGGATATGGGCTCTGTTCTTCTATTTTAAAAGTTCTGTCTGGGAGGGAGCAATGGGTCTGGACCGCCTGTTGTGAGGAAGGATTGTTCAGTGAATAGCTGTGCTAACTAGCACTGCTTCATGGACAGTGGACAATACACACATGAGGAATGTAGCTGGGAGTCTGCAAACCAGCCAGTGCCTCATGGCTACTTGCATGTGAAACACAAACAAGTCACTTGATCATGGGACCAGCTCCAGTTTGGGAGGCACTAGGAATATAAAAGTGCCATGAGGGTGACTCCATCTTTGTCTTTAATCCTGCTTCTGATTTCAGATGCATCCTTGCTAGGGCCAAGAAGGATTTGCTGACCCGTCCTGATACAGGATGTACACCAGAGACTTTTAAGCTGGCAGTTTGTAACATCTCTGCTAATAGCCTGCATCAAGCACTAGGTGATTGATGTATGTAATGTATTCTCCTTGACAATCTTGCGCTCAACCTTTTCTTTCTTTTATTAATAAATGTTTACATTTTAGATTCTAAAGGATTGGCCCAGCGTGCTCTTGCGGGTAAGATCTAAAGTGCAAATTGGCCTGGGACTGTGGATAGTTCTTTGGGACCGAGAGGATCTGTTTGGAGTTGGTGAGATTGGGTTTTATAACCTCTCACCTGTGTGTGAGGTCTGGGTTTGATTGTGGCACAGGAAAAGCTGGGGTGTCTGAGGGGTTTCGCTTGTGAGGCTTCCTGCTGGCCAGATTGGCAACTGAAGTGCTCGGTGTGACTGGTTTGTGGCCTATATGTGAAAGGTTTCCAGTCAAGAGCTGTAAGTAGCCCTGGTGTTGAGAAATTCACCCTGAGCTGACCCCCTCAGGGGTGCCCAGACCCAGCCTGGTCCATTACATAGGGAATGATGGGCTGTCCTCAGATCAGGCCCACAGGGCCCTCCAAAGTGCCGGGCCTGGTACGGCTGCTCTTAACCATCCAAGACGACTCTGGTCTAGGAGAAAGGGGCGGAACCACCCCCACATTCACTGGCAGTGGGAAGCGGAGTGATGCAGCTGGGAGCTGGAGGAGCAGAGTGGGCTGGGGCCACTGGGGACGGGGGACGGCAACCCCTGCTGTCAGCACCAAGCACCCTGACAGTCCCTCAGGCTGTGTCACTCAGGGGAGGGGGTTTGGGAGAAGAAGTGGAGCAGGGGAAGAGTGGGGCTGGAGCAGGGGAAGGAAGAGTCAGGAAGGGGGAAGAGCAAGGACTTGGGGGATGGGGTGGAGTGGGAGGGTGTGTCTACACTGCATTCCTCTTTTGAGAGAGGAATGCAAATGCAGCTGAGCGAAATTGCAAAATTTCCTGCGCTACATTTGCATAATCGCACCCAGGCACTATTTCGAAATGCAGCTGAGCGAAATTGCAAAATTTCCTACGCTACATTTGCATAATCGCATCCAGGCACTATTTCGAAATATGCTGTCTAGACATGGTTATTTTGAAAGAAAACCCTTCTTTCGAAGTTACCCTTAAATCTCATTTTATAAGGAGTAAGGGTAATTTTGAACGAAGGGTTTTCTTTCTAAATAACCGCATCTAGATAGCGTTTCTTTTTTCGAAATAGGGCATTTCGAAATAGCTCCCAGACTCGATTATGCAACTAAAGTGCAGGAAATTCAAATCTGCGCTTCATTTGCAATTTTGCTCAGCTGCATTTGCATTCCTCTCTCGAAAGAGGAATGCAGTGTAGACACACCCGGAGAAGGCAGGTCAGGAAGAAGCAAGCTAAGGATGGCGTGGGAGGAGTCACATGGGAAGCGGTCACGTGGCCAGTGCCCCTCTGTGTACCCCCCCAACACTGTTCTCTAGCACAACACTGTGGCTGTAAATATCTTTGCCAGAGTTAATGTCTAGAAGTGAGATTTCAGGAGATATGAATAAATAAAGAAGAGTGGTTTGGCAAACTAGATTAGAGCGAGGGGTCATCAAATAAAATCAATAAGCAGTAGATATAAAACAAATCAAAGGAAGTGTTTTTCCACACAACACACAGTCAACCTGTGGAACTCCTTGACAGAGGATGTTGTGCAGGCCAGGTGTTTAAGTAAATAAGTTCATGGAGAATAGGTCCATCAATGGCTATTAGCCAGGATGGGCGGGGATGCCAGAAGCTAGGAATGGATGGCAGGAGATGAATCACTTGATGACCTGTTCTGTTCATTCCATTTGAGGCACCTGGCAATGGCCACTATCAGGAAACAGGAGCAACCTCTGTTCCGGCAGACAGGGCTGGCTGCCACAAACAGGGGTTGCTGGACTCAGCACAAACTGGGACCAAGCAGTTCTGGTTCACTCTGGTCTGGGATGCTGCGCCTCTCTCTTTTAACTGTAGTAAGTGTCCGGTGGCTCTTACTACATTTAAAATCCAGAGTCCTTATCGACTAATCATGTAGTCGATACAAGTTGTATCGACTACATGATTTATCAGATAACTGCAATTTAACATCCTTACCACATGCCGACTGTTAAAGGGCTTCTAGTGCAGAGCCGCAGCTGGGGTAGTTGCTGGGACCCGGCGCGAGCCGGAACTGCATACTTTCACTGCTAACCCTTATCAATTAATTGTGTAGTCGACAAAACTTTTGTTGACTACATGATTAACAAATTACACATTTCTTAACATCCGTAGCTGAGATTAGCAGCATAATCAGTGAAACAAGATGAAGTCCCATGAGACATCTCTCTGTATTTTAAAACACATTTAAACACAGCAGAGTCTGTCTTTCTAAAAGCCTTACCATTAAAACTCCTAAAAAACTAAATCTACATGGGGACATTTATAGCTACAATTTATTATTAGAATAACAAAAGGGGCTCTCACTTAGCACATCAACTTAATGAAAGAAAACCCAGGTTTTTCTTGATAAAAGCTTGTGCTATCTAAATACAGCACATGCCAAAAGGGAATTTTACCACAGAACATCTCAGGCTTCTGGGAATTCAAATCCCATTCAAGATTCACATTCAGTTAACAGAACCCTTTAGTGTCCATGCGAATACACATCTGCCCATCCATCTACAGAGGTGAGTTACCCAAATGATATTCACATTCATCTGTGTTTCATGTGTGGGAGCATATTTATTCTTTTCTTTTACAGATAACATTTTGCACTATCAGCAGCAGATGCTAGATCATTGAAACGTTTTTCCTATGACTCTTCAATATTCCCCCCGTATGAAGTTGGTAAACTGCATCTCCACTTTACAAACAGGGAAGCTCAAACAGAATGCCTGGTTAAGCCAATTATTTGTGTGAGGTCACAAACTGACTCAGTGGAAGAGAGGGAAATAAAAACACAGAAATCATGACTTGCACCCCCATTCTACCTCCACTAGTCTGTACATCCTAACAGATTTCTCCCATACATGGACATATGGGTTAAATATTGCTAAGTTGCTGCAGTAGTTCTGCTGTTTAATTAAAGTCCTGTCCTCCATCTCCACAGGCCCCACAGGGGAAACACCAGCCACAGTCCACCTGGATATACTCCGGAAATGTCAGAACTCTGGACAAGCACAAGCCATGCCCCCAATACATTCCACCCTGCTCCTCAAAGGTGGGCCCCAGCCTGGACGGGAAAATCAGCTGCCCCTCGGAAGCCTTTGAAAAGGATTGTGTTAACGACAGACCACGTGTTTGGCTGTACAATGCCTGTATTAACAGGGATGGAGGCTGGCAACTACTTTGTTATGTTATAAACCTGTCCCACTAGGCTCTTCTGTGCACCACCAACGTGCCAAGGCTGGAGATAAACACACGGCAAATCATGAAAAACAGACGGTGCTCAATGATTCAGTTTCTCTTGGCACGAGCCCCGTTATCCTGAAGAGAAGCAACTACGTTGCTGGGGAGAACAGAAAGAATGGCTCCATATGGCAAACATCACTGTCTTCTCATTGGCTAAGCACCACCTAGCCTGCCTGAAACAGTTCCCAGGAGGATAGCCACGACGCGGCGGAGAAAACAAATGAAACATTCCAATGGGGAAGCAGCAGGAAAACCCCTCGCAACCTGCTGAAACATCACTTGCTCTTCACAAGCACCCCACAGACTCACAACACTGTATTTTCATCCTTCACAAACCAACTCACAATCCACTCGCCTGCTTTTCCGTCAGGAATTAGCCAATACACCAAGGAGACAGAAATACAATTTCATGTATTTCTATCTCCCGCTCCCATGTGCTCAACCCTTCCTAACACAGTGCAGCCAAACAGCATTTCCCTTGAGACTTGTGAGACAGGCAAAGAGGGTGAGGTAAGATCTTTTAGTGAGCGATAAGTTTTCGAGTACATTCCCCCGATCTGAAACAGAGCGCTGTGTGAGCTCAAAAGCTCTTCCCTTTCACCAACAGAAAGTGGTCCAATAAAAGATGTGACCCCTGCCAGCTTGTCTCTCTGATATCTTGGGACCAACACAGCACAAAGGCATTCACTCGTCAGTGTGCAACAACTCCTGTACATTGCCATAGAGAGCAGGATCCAAAGTCCCCCCACAACTCCCCACCACATACACTTATTCCCAATAGCAGGAACATCTGCAGCCCAGAACAACCAAAAACAAAGTCTCTGTTGCTCTCTAGGCCCACACAATGAATAGAGGAGGTACTAGTACTGGAAAGGGCTCTGGTACTGCCAGACACCTTTTGTGGAAATAAAACACAATATGTTTCATAATGTGACATTAGGGCCTGGCATTCCTTCCAAGTGCCTCTTGCTGGAGAAATACAGATACACGTACCTTTCATCCCAAACTTGGACCGGCGACCATATTTGTTGATCATAATAAAGAGCACCACCAAGAGGACACACGCAAAAGCTGCAAGCCCCACTGCTATGGACACCTGCAAGGGGCAAATCTGAAAGTTAGCTTAGAGGAACATAGGATATCAAAACCAGTTCAGACTTGAATTGTAGAAGTCTCCTATCTCAATCACTCCTTCCATACAATTACATTCTCGACACCACCATGCATGCCTGCTGTGGCGGGGGATACATCTGAATAAAAATGTCTTTAATGCAATTTTGAAACTAGAAGAGCCTCTTATTGCTACTGGAAAAACAAGAATCATTTCTATACAGATACAATTCTGCTCCAATATCACATTTCCCATCTCTCTGAACCCTCGCTCTTTACTCATCAAGTACCTCTGCATGAAATCTTCGCTTCTTACTGTTCCTTAATGCCCTGGTTTTTTGACCCTTCATAATCTCCATTTTGACACATCTTAACCAACTTTGTGGCTGCACAACCACAAGAAGATACTAGCTTGAGATAGGTGACATGCAGTAGAAGAAGGATTCTTTCACATTATCAATCCTGTCACTGCAAACAACCCTCAGAAGCAAAAATAAGGGAACAGAAAACACAAGAGACAGAAGGTGGTAAAACTCTTCTTCTGAAGCCCCTGAAGAGACTTCATTAGTAGTAATGCTAAATATTTATACTATGGTAGTCCCCAAAATCCCCCCATTGACACAGGGACCCCCTTCTGCCCAGCACTATAGAGATACAGAAGTGAGATCATCCCTGCCCACAAGGGCTTACAACCCAAAGCTCCTTTTTATATTTATTAATATTTATTTCTGAAAATCTTTACCCAAGATCCTTTAATTGTGTTGCTCTAAACAGCTTCCTTTCAGGGTTTCTGTCATTTGCATTTGGACAATTAGGCTTACTGCCTTCCAGGACTCCTTACTGCATTTGGACCTGTGTTCCGCTGACAGTGATGTGTTCAGTAACAACAACAAAAAATACAGCACTTAGCACAGAGACATGCTTCCTTTCATCGCTTGATGCTTTTCCCCGTCTTCTATATACGTATGGTTTTATTTTTAAAATGTCACATTTTAACAAGTATTATTTTTGTTCTCCTGTATATATTCTGCATTTATTTTTTCTACACTTGGTGCTGTTCACTAGTAAGGCCCCATTGTATGAAGGTCAATTCTCTGTGAGTTACAGCTGGATCACACCTTTTGGAAATGAACAAGGGTTTGTCTTGTTTAAATGTTTTCTGGTTTTCAAGAGTCACAAAAACTTTCACAAAATGAGGGCAATTGTGTGAAATCTTAATTATTTCCCTAGCACTACTACTCACATTTGTTTCCCTTTCTCAGTCTGGATCCTGTGAAAAGTGAAATTTTGAGGTCTTGCAAATCCAGTAAAATGAATTGGCAAACCGTTCACTTATTTCAGCCATTTTCATGAAATCCTAGAATGACATTAGCAAGTGCAGCAGGAAGGGTAAAGTAGGGATGGTTGCATCGGTAGTGATGAAAATAAACCCAAGCTAAATCCATGCTCCTAAATGTTCTATTCTAGCATGAAACAACTCAATTAATTGGTTTATTTGTCACTTTTTCAGACTCCCATTATTTCTGACCCTGCAGGAAATACCTTGCTTGAGACTCTGTCTTCAAGAGATTCCCAACCCAGTTTTGCAAACTCAAGAGCTCACATGGTTCATAGTATCTCTGCTTATTCATCCTAAACCATTGAACCTTCTGAAGTTTGGCCATCATGAATTGCAAAGGGAGGGTTTTACTTGCAAACAAATATCTGAGTATAGACATAATGATGGTGCAATCAGCATACCGGCTATCCACCAGGAACAGAAGAAATCAATAGAAAATGCTTCCCCTGTACGAAAGAAGACAGGACTCACCCCAAACGTATCCTCCTCTGGTTTGTGGGTCACAGTAATAGGTGGGGTGGGACTCACTTCATAGTCACCAACTGGAACCAGAAGAGCAAAGAATAAATATTTGATTTGTGTCCCCCCTCCCACCTGGCACCAGAACACGTCAATCTTGTGATGCCACACTATATAGTACTAGCTAGCCCAGGGAATCAGGTCTCTTGCCTTCTATTTCCAAGACTTTTAATTCAAGTCTCATTGGGCTTGAATGACTTAATAGGTCTTTTCTATTTAAGATCTCTAGGATCCATTGTAACTCAGCAGTGAGGAAGCAGAGCCCAGTTACTAATCGGACACAGTGCCTCTCCAACCCAGCTAATTAGACACAGTCTGATCCCAAGTGTTCTGTGGGTGAGTACACTTCATCCACCCACATGCCTCCCAGCACCAGAGGAAAGCTAGTGGTTCCAGCCGCCCTGGAATGCAGATTGCTGCAAGACTGAATCCTGCCAAATTAAAACCAACAATGGCTTGCATGATTTTTAAAATTAAATGCATATGAATCTTGGTGATTGAAAACCCAGGAGACAGAAGTCTCCCAGCCATAGATCAGGTGCAGCACTTACCCTACCCACCTGTTCCATGGGGCTGAACTAACTTGGAAGAGTCCCTACTAGAATGAAAAGGGAAGGGGTATATATATCCAGGACACAGTCAGTGCTTTGGCTTGTCCTCAGACTGCCCCAATAAGGAGGCCAAACTAGTGCTTGGGTTATGGACGATTGTTCTTCTAAGAAGGGGATTGAGACCCATTTGCTCATTTCATAGGGGCAATGACAACTTCTTTGGGGCACTACCAACCTGTACCTAACTTAAATCAGGAATCTCAAGCAGAGAGGTTCTATATTACTTCCCCAGGCCCCAGAACCACATAAGCCCCCTAAACACTGGCTCTGAAGATTGCTTTTTCTTTCATTTCAGTGGACAAGGCATCTATTCCACCGCCTATCAGTGGCACCCCAAACCTACAACCACTATATGAATTATTAGAAGACACACTGAACACATGTATGCCTCTGTCATGCTTCCCAGCTCTTCCCCCAACCCCTGTGCTACCAGCACAACATATGCCTCCCTCTCCATTGGTATGGATCCTACTTCAGGACCCCACTAAGCAGGAATAGATCCATCCAAGATCTACAGACTGCAGCGCATAAAAGCCTTCTTTAGTACACTAGGGCTCTCGCAGAGGCAAAAATATGTGTCTTGCTTCCCATCACCTTCTCTAACAAGCCCTCCTATCTATCACTAGAGCATTAGATGCCCCCAAACGCCATCTGCAAGGTACTTGGATTCAGGAGTGAAAAAAGTAACAAAGCAAAAAGCCAGAAGGCACTTACTTGACACAAAGTTATCTGTACCCCCTGTGAAAAGGACAAAGAGAGAAGCAACACAATTAACAGCATGATAAAGGGATGGCAGCCCCTCCCATCCAAATACTTCTCAGCCACACTCCCTCATCAACCCAACCAGCCCAGGGAGGTTCAAGGGCATATCTCTCAGGCCACACCTTCACTAAGTGGAAGATCGACAGTGCCGCGATCAATCTTCTGAAGCTTGATTTAGGAGGTCTAGTAAAAACCTGCTAAATCGAACTCAAAGGGTGCCCACATCGGTGGCCAGTACTCCTCCTCCTGTGAGGAGTAAGGGAAGACAATGGAAGCATTTGCTCCCATTGGGCTCCCACTGTGGGGACATCAGGAAAACTTGAATTAAGATGCATCCACTCCAGCTACATCATTAACGTAGCTAGAGTTGCATATCTTGATTTGGACTTCCCCTTTGGTGTAGCCTGGCCTCAGAACAAGCTAGCCCCTAGCTAGTGCCAGCTCACTGACTGCAAAGGGAGAAGAGGGAAAACCCTCCTAGGAAGACTATACTCAGTGATGGGCCGCAAGAGTAGACCTCCTTCATACCAATGTGCTGCAAAGTTGTCGTAACCAAGACAGTTTCTCGGGATGAGGTGGTTTTCTAATTGCACTTGCGTACCTAGAATGTGTGGGGTGTGTCAACTAAACTGGAGCAGTGCTTCAACTGGATGCAGAGGGAGCCCATGGCTCTCAATCAATGTTGCGTGCAATCTGCAGGCAATTCATTGCACATGCCCTCGCTTTATGTGCATGTCACTTTAGTAATACTGGTAGGAAAAGAACTAACTGGACAGAAACCAGTGGAATCTGTCAATGCTGTGCATGAGCAATGATAAACAAAATGACTTGTGGGCCACACTTTGAACCCCGATGGGCCATGTGTGGCCCAAGGGCCACTGGTTGCCCATAACTGACATAGCTACTTTTATGAGATTTCTCTTTGGAGCCACATGGCAGAGCTGGGCGGGATTCTGGGAAGGAAGGGCAAGAGAACAAAACTTCCCAATTGTTGGCCCATTGGCAGTCATGGGTCAAAATAACCTCAGTGTGTGGTAGGCCAGGATTTGGGGTGCCGTGGAACAGTTGTGAGGGAGCTTGACCTGAAATGGAGGGGCACTGCAGGTTGGGATTCGAGTGCATTCATAAGGTATAAATGGAAACCTCATGTCTCCAGTGCCTGGAGGATGGGCAACACAAGTTAGGAGCAAGCTGCAGTGGCAGCGCTGTGGTGGAGTGAGGGCTGGAAGCAAATGGGCTCAGGAGGACAGAGGTGTGTGGCTGGTGGGGAAAAAGATGCTGCACTACATTTGCACCACCCTGAAAAGCTGGCCCTGTCAGTCATCCACCTCAGCAACTTGACCAGCTCAGGGTGTCCACTGAAGCTCCTTCCAAAGAAAACTACTTGCCAGGGTCCCAGGTGACAACGTCTATAAAGCTCTCAGTGACAATCAGTTTACATAGCACAAGAACATCATCAGCTTTCAATGTACACGCCAACATAAGAAATTGACCCTGATACTAACAGGATTTTACACAGCTCTGCCAGCAAAGGATGCCTGGGATAATGCTATAAAACCATGGCAGAGGCTTGGAAGGGAAGTAAATATAGTCCCAGGGTCATATGTACAGCCCCCAATGAACTGAAGTTTGGTTCACAGGGATTCAGTTATTGGGCTGTGATGGATTAGATCAGTAGTTCTTGACTCCCAGGCAAGCCACTACACTTTTTTATTTGAGGGGGGCTGGAAATTTTCCAGAGACAGCAACGCAGGAGTCAGCAAACAGAGCCAAAAACAGAGGAGTTTTCCGCCTGGGGCGTTCTGGGTTCTTTCACAGGAGCTTAGGAGGGAAGACTATGACAGCTGCAGAGGCAGCTGTAGTAGTGACCCAAAGAATGGAAAAGATTATGAAGATGACTGGATGTGGAAGCAGGGGGATGTGCATTATCCTGGAGAAGGTACCTGAAAGGTGCTTCATTTGTATGAAGTGTGATTTGACACATCTGATCAAAGAAACGATCCAAAGCTTGGAGCGGCAGCTAGAAATTGTGGTGGAATTTCAAAGGGGATTTGAGCAGGTGATGGAGGGAAGGAGAGAGGCGAATGAAGGGAAAACCTTGTGATTTGCAAATGCATGCAGGACCAGAGAATTCTGATGGTAGATTCATGATCTAGTTTGTGATTTGCAAATGCATGCAGGACCAGAGAACTCTGATGGTAGATTCATGATGAAGGAGAACACCATGATCAAAACAAGATTATGATGATCAACAGATGGCTCAGACAATGGTGCTATAAGGAGAGCTTGGGATGTTCAGCTATTGAGTCGTGGGATGGAGGTTGGCAGCTCTTGTAATCTGATTCTAATACTGAAAGGGAGGAAACTTAATTAAAAGAGCAATGAAGAAATTAACAAGAAAGCAGGAAAATGAACAAGAAGAAGGAAGACAATGCCAGACCACTGACAGTAACAGTCAGGTACGCTGTCAGTAAAATGACTGTACCTAATCCAGCGAGAAAACCAACCAATGCCAGACAGAAACAAATAAGGTGTCTGTCTGTACACCGATGCAAGGAACCTGGGTAACAAAATGGAGGAACTAGAACTACAGCTTCAGGAAGTGAAAGTAGATATTTTAAGCTGAACAGAAACATAGTGAAATAATAGCCAGGAATGCAATACAGGCATAGAAGGATATGTGCTCTTCAGGAAATAAATAAATAAATAATGGTGTTGTGGCACTGTACAGTAATGATAGCGTAGATTGTAAAGAAATTAGAAGTGATGGAATGGATAAAACTGAATCTGTTTCAGTCAAAATCTATTTGGAGAAGAAAGGTAACAAAGGTTCTACCAGGACTGTGCTTGTGTCTGCTATGGACACCTGGGATCTGATTTGGATATGGAGAGACACTGCTAATATGTTTAATGAAATAAAAGCTACTGGGACTAGTGTGATTATGAAAGACTTTCATTTCTCAGATATATATTGGAGGACACATGCATAAATGGTAGGACCCAGATATTCCTGGATGGGAGAGGTGACAGATTTCTTCACCAAACAGTCATAGAACCTAGAAGTGACCACTGCTATCTTACATTTAGCATTGGTAAGTAGCAAGGACCTCGGAGGACTCCTGGTTGTAGAGGACAACCTTGATTTGAGTGATCATGAATTAATTCACTTTAAACTAAATGGAAATGTAAACAAAAATAGGTCTGAAGCTAGGGTCCTTGATTTCAAAAGGGAACACTTGAAAAAGTTAAGAGAATAAGTTAGGGAAACTAAAGAACTCAAGGATCGGAATGTGGAAGAAGCTTGGAATTACTTTGAGCAAGGGGGAAAAAATGTAGGGAAGGGTAGAACACCAAACTGGATGAACATACATTTCAATCAAGTTATTAAGAGAAAGCCTACAAGGAATGGCAGAAGTGATGGACAACAAGGAAAGTTACCTCGTGAACATCAGAAAGTGTAGGGGAAAAGTGAGACCTGCCACAAGCCAAGCAAAGTTGGAACTTAAAAAGGAAATGAAAACCAGCAGTAAAAGGTTCTTTACCCACATTTTTAAAAAAGAAAGAAAACAAGGAAAACAAGCGCTAAGCACTGACGGTGGAATGCAGATTAAAGATAACAAAGGTATGGCTCAACATCTAAACAACTCGTTTGCCTCCGTTTTTAATAAGGATAATTAGGCGCTTGAGGGTAGTGTCAGGGTGACGAATGGAACTAGGATATGGAAGCAGAAATTACCACATCTGAGATGGAAGCCAAACTCAAACATGGATGAACTTAAAAATGGGACCAAACTGGGGGAGGCCCCACATAATCTCATATTACAGGAACTGGTCCATGAAATTGCAAGGATTTTTAATGAATCTGTCAACTCGAGGGTCATACCTTATGACTGGAGAATTGCAAATTTAGTACCCGTATTTAAAAAATGAAAAGAAATCTATCTGGGAAACTACACGCCCATTAGTTTGACCTCAACTGTATGCAAGGTCTTAGAACAAATTATGAAAGAGAGAGTAGTTAAGGACATAGAGGTCAACAGTAATTGGGATAAAACACAACATTGGCTTTACAAAAGGTAGATCATCCCAGACCAATCTAATCTCTTTGGGAAGATAACCAATTGTCTAGACAAAGGACATGCAGTAGAACTAATCTACCTGGATTTCAGTAAAGCATTTGATACAGTTCCAAATTATTAGTTAAATGGATAGAGATTAGTATGAGAATCAGAAGGTGGATCAGAAACTGGTTAAAAAGGAGATGACAGAGGGTCATGCTGTCAGGCCAGAGGGAGGTTCCTAGTTAAGTTTCTCAGGGGTCAGTCTTGGGACCAAACTTATTTAACATTTTCGTTAATGAAAATGACGCAAAAAGTGGGAGTGTACCAATAAAATCTGACCCGAAGTAGGGAGATATTGCCAATATGGGGGACGACCAGATCATCGTACAAGAAGATTTAGATGACTTTGAATGCTGGATAGAAATGGGATGAAATTGAATACTGCAAAGTGTCCTTCAGGACTGAGAAGAAGTGTTGATGTAATTTTGGTGGAGATGTACCAGTTGAAAGTGACAGAGGAGGAGAAAGACCTGGGTGCACTGATCAATTAGAGGATGACCACGAGCCACCACTGACTCCAGCCATGAAAAGACTAACTGCAATCTTAGGATGCATCAGGCATGGTATTTCCAGATAGGAAAATGTCATTAGCATTATACAAAGCACTGGAGAGACTTCATCTGGAACACTGTGTGCAAGTCTGGTCTCTCATGTTCAAGAAAAAATAATTTAAACTGGAACAGATGCAGAGAAGGGCTACCAGCATGATCAAAGCAGTGGAGACCCTACCTTAAGAGATAAGACTTCAGGCGTTTGGCTTGTTTAGCCCAACAAAATGGAAAATAGGGGAGATAATGATTGCTGTCTGTAAATATATCAGAGAGAAAAACACCACAGAGGGAGAGGAGTTATTTAAGTTAAGGGACGATGCTGGCAAAACAACAGATGAATATAAACTAACCATACATAAGTTTAGCCTTAAATGACATAAAAGTTTCTAACCATCAGAGGAGCAAGGTTCTGGAACAGACTTCCAAGGGAAGGGGGAAGAGGGCAAAAAACCTAACTTGTTTTAAGACTGATCTTAATAGCTTTATGGAGGGGCGTCGCAGTGAGACTGTCCACAATGGCATATGGGTCTCTTCACAACTATTAGCAAGTGTCTCCAATTGCCAGAGATGGGATAATAGAGGGGGAGCACTCTGAGTCATGACTGAGAATTCTTTTCCCAAGTGTCTGCTAGGGGTGTTAGAGATCGTGTAACTGAATAGTCGTGTAACCACATGAAATTGTACCAGTTACACAGCTATTTGATAGCCCTCGGGGGCAAGGCTGGAAGCCAGTGCACTCCAACCACACTTCCAGGGAGCCCCCTACTGCCCTGCTCCCAGAGGTAGCAGCATGGGGCGCCAGGCGGGAGCCAGTCTGCAAGGGGAGCCAGCCACCTCTGTCTGCGGGGAGCTCAAACCCTCCGCGGACAGGGGCTGCTGTGATGGAGCAGCCTCTGTCCGTGGTAGCCCAGGCTAGGGAAGTCAAGGACTAGTTGACTAGTCGACTACCTGATAAGCAAATGCTTATCAGATAGTCCACAGGATAGTCGACTAGTCGCTTCCCTCCTTTTCTGCCTCTATCAGATAAAGGCAGCAAGAGGGGGCCAAAAGAGGGGGCACTTCAAAGCAGCAGTGCCTCACAGAGCCCGGAGTCCCCGGCACTGTTTCAAAGGGATAGCGCCACACAGCTGATCCCAGGTTCCGTGCAGTGCTGCCCCTTTGAAACGCTGCCACGGCATTTCAAAGCGGAAGTGCTATGTGGAGCCCAGGGTCAGCTGGGGATTCCTCAGCTGAACCCGGGCTCCGTGCAGCATTTCATAGAATCATAGAGCTGGAAGAGATCTTAGAAGGCCATCAAGTCCAGCCCCCTGCCCAAGGCAGGACCAATCCCAATTAAATCAACCCAGCCAGGGCTTTGTCAAGCCAAGACTTAAACACCTCTAGCGATGGAGACTCCACCACCTCCCTAGGTAACCTATTCCAGTGCTTCACTACCCTCCTGTGCAGCTTGGAGACACCCTAGCTGACCCATGGCTCTGGGTAGCATGCCAGCTTTGAAATGTACAAGAGTCCCCAGTGGGGTTCTTGGGCATTTCAAAGAGGAAGCACAGCATGGAGCCTGGGCCAGCACAGGACTCTGACTTCCCGCTGGCCCTGGGCTCCATGTGGCGTTCCAACTTTGAAATGCACAAGAGCCCCCGCTGAGGCTCTTGTATATTTCAAAGGTGGAACATGGAAGTGCCTATCGATTAGTCAAGTAGCCAATGGAAATTCTATCGGTTACTCGACTAGTAAATTAATCGCTAGTTAACATACTTAGCCCAGGCCAGCTGCAAACAGAAGCTGCTTCGCAGCAGCCTCCCCTACTCAACCTCTCCCCAGCCCCATGCTGCTGCCTCTAATAGAGGCAGCAGTGAAAGGCAGGGGCAGGCATCACTGCGGAACTAGTGCTGGGGAGAAAGGGTTTTTAAGTTGGCTTCCCCCAGTACCAACTCTTGCCTGCACCTCCCCCCCTTTCTCTCTAGGAGGCAGTGTGCGGGGGCGGGGTGGGGGTTGGCAGGCAGGTCAGCAGAGCCAGCACATTCAGGGAGGCCGCTTGAAAGCTGCACATGCTGGTATTGGCTCCCACCTGCCCCTCTTACCCTCCACACTGCTGGCTCTGCAGCAGCATGGGGGTGGGGAACAGGTGGATCTAGTGCTTGTAGGGAACCAGCTTTTAAGCCAGCTCCTTATGGACACCAGCTCCCACTCTCCTCTCCTTGCTGCCTCTGTTTCTGGCTTGGGGGGAGGGGTATAGGAAGGGGTACTGAATCTGGGAGGGAGTTGGGTGTGGGAAGGAGTGGGGTCCAGAGGCAGGTTCTGGTTGAGAGGCGCACAACTAAGCAGCTCCCAGCCAGCAGCATTCTCAGGCAGGCTTCCCTGCCTGTCAGCAGCCCCTGACCTCTCAAAGCATCTGGCTGTTCCATGTAGCTCTAAGCACTGTGAGGGGAGGCTTCACGTTTTACCCCTGCCCCCAGCAAAATCTCTCAACTTCTATTTGCCAGGAACTGACTAATGGGAGCTGAGAAATTGTGCTGCACTGTTCCCTCCCCCAGCAAAATCTCTCAGCTCCCATTGGCTGGTTTATGGCCAATAGAAGCTGAGAGATTTTGCTGGGGAAAGGGCAGCATGAGAAGAAAGGCACAGAGCGCCACAGGAAGTAGCCAAACACTTTGAGCAGCGCTGCTCCATGCTGTAAGGACAGGCCATGGACCACAGGCCGTATCTTGCCCACCCCTGGACTAGATGATCACAATGGTCCCTTCTGGCCTTAAAGTGTATGACTCTATGAGACTAAACTTTCATTTTAAAAAATTCTGCTCCTGCAGCAAAAACCTCCCCAGAGAACTAGAGGCAGTAATGAGGTTTATTGAATATGCAGCTCCTGACATCTCCTAGAGCAGTGTTTCTCAACCAGTCATACGAGTACCCTTAGGGATACTTGAGAGAAGTTTGGGGGGTACATCAACACAACTGAAATTTGGAGAAAACTGAATTTTTGTTTTAAGTTTTACAGCACTTTATTATTTTTGTACTTTTTACACCCAAAAATGTCATCGCCCGCCTGGCTACAATTAAGTTGTTTAAACAAATGTGTTGCAATGGTAGAAAAAAAATTGTGTGTCTGAAAACTGTAGGTACTGGGGGTACTTATGTTTTGATATATATAAAAAGGGGGTACTTATAATTTTTTAAAGGGGTATTTTATAAAAAAAGGTTGAAAAACACTGTTCTAGAGGAACCAACTTTTTAATGCAAGACTGCATTTCAGATGCACTGAATGATAATATCAATTTTAGCAATGTGTGGGTCAGTGAACTTCAAGAAAAATAAATCAGGCACTGATTACATCATTGGAGGGGGAACTGCCACAATGACACGGGATCGTGAAAGGAAAAATATGGATGTAGTGGCAGGTGAAAAAAGTGGGGAACCTTTAGTTTTTATATATATCTATCTATCCATCCATCCTTTTCCAGCACTTTCTATATAAGGATTTCAAAAAATTTACAAACATTAGCTTATTTTTTCAACACTGTGGCCAGAGTGAATGAATTTTTAGCATCAGCAATTTGGAGCAGCAGACCTGCTTCCGGTTACCTTTGGAAAATGCCTAGCACCCACCAAGCACATTGCAGATGCTTCAGAAACAAAGTGTTATTATTTACATTCTACAGACAGCGAACCTGAATCACAGAAATGGGAAGCGACAAAGGCGAGAACACAACCCCTATTTCCCTACTCCAACCTCTGTGCCCTTCCTCCCAGATGACAGAAAGCCTACATAGATTAAGGAGCTAGACAGATTATCATCCTTGAAGCTTGAATATAATTTCCCCACTGCCTTCTGTTTCTGTTCTTGTCTTTAGATTGGTCACTTCTTCAAAGCAGGGATTTTGGTTTCCAGTTGCTGTATTTCATCTGCAGGAAAGCTCTGTGCCCATAGACGGTCTGATATAAATAATAAATGAAAAATGCCGTCGGTATTGCTCTGTGGATAGCAAGTGCTCTATTTGGCTCGGTTTTCTAGGGGCTGCATTTCTCGTGGCATTTCTCCTACCCACAGCACGTGCCATTCTGCTAACTCCATGATGCCTGATCTGGTGCGGCAAAAGCAGAAGGCAGTGCAAGAACCTTCCCACCCTTTCTAGGCAGCCCAGCCATGACAACCCTCTCGATTTCACCCTTATTCCTAGAGCTTCCCCTGCTTCATTTTTCCTTCTACATATTCACCACACACATCATCTTGTGACACAGTGAGGAATTTCAAGCCATCTCCTGAGAATGCCTAACAAACAGTGCACCAAAATGGAAAGATTTTTTTTTCAAATAAAATAGGTAGCATTCCACCGACATCATAGCCACTTGATAGAAGTAAAATGAGCTCACCGAGTCCTTTGAAAGGGTTTTCCTCCACACACCACCACTACCTCCGTAGTATGCCAAAAAAGACTGTTCGGTGCCAAATGAGTGAGAGGCCTCGTTAAGGGGCGTCAAAGATAACACAAGATACACTGCATGCCCTAACCCATCTCTGACAGACAAGTCATGGAGCAAAGACCACCAGAAACATTGCAGAATGAAAGTCAAAATCCCGTCATTTTCTTTTCAGTCAAAATGTAACTGAAAAGGGGGGGTCTCCTGCCATTGTATTATATTGTTTGGGCATTCCTCTAAGCTAGTAGGGTCATGTGTGATCTGTGCATGGTTGATCGGACCCAAGTGCCCCAGTATGGCATGTTGTTCTAGCTACCATCTTTCAAGACAGACTTGATAAAAAGACCACGACCACTCAACGCCAGTAAAATTTCATGGCCACCTCTTTGCACCAAGAGGTATGTTAGCTCCTATTTCAAGGCCAGTCTGTATAATGACCTCCTGCCTCCCTAAAATCCCACTGAGGTTTCACCAGGATACACAACCCTTTTTCACACCCATGTCTAGATTCATGTGCAATGTTGCTCCATGCTGTTAAAAAGTCACGACATTGTGCACAAGAGGGGGCTGTATTTTTAACGGTAGGTGCAACGAACCTTGTGCATGGCTTCTATAGCAGTCTGCTAAGTGCTCCAAGATGCAATGCCCTAGAGAAACACAAGGGCTGACTCTCTCACCTGGAAAGGGCGTCTCGAGGAAATGCCCTTTGATGGTCTGGTTGGCGGTACCCAGCGGGTTGGTGGCCACGAGGGTGTAGTTGCCGTTGTTGTAGTGAGTAGGCTTGTTGAAGAGCAGACAACCCTCAGACACTTCGCCCTGCTGGTAGAACTCCATGCGGATGATCTCTGTCTCCCTAAGGACCTGGAAGAGGTATGTTAGCTCCTATTTCAAGGCCAGTTTGGATAATGACCTCCTGCCTCCCTAAAAGATTTCACCAGGATACACAACCCTTTTTTACACCCATGTCTAGATTCATGTGCAATGTTGCTCCATGCTGTTAAAAAGTCACGACATTGTGCACAAGAGGGGGCTGTATTTTTAACGGTAGGTGCAACGAACCTTGTGCATGGCTTCTATAGCAGTCTGCTAAGTGCTCCAAGATGCAATGCCCTAGAGAAACACAAGGGCTGACTCTCTCACCTGGAAAGGGCGTCTCGAGGAAATGCCCTTTGATGGTCTGGTTGGCAGTACCCAGCGGGTTGGTGGCCACGAGGGTGTAGTTGCCGTTGTTGTAGTGAGTAGGCTTGTTGAAGAGCAGACAACCCTCAGACACTTCGCCCTGCTGGTAGAACTCCATGCGGATGATCTCTGTCTCCCTAAGGACCTGGCCGTTATGCAGCCAGTGGAGGCTGGGTGCTGGTTTCCCATGCACCACAAACTCAATGCAGTGCTCCAGGCGCAGCTCTGGCTCCTCCAGGCTCAGGATGCGCGGGGGATCTGGCCGAGAGAAACACAGTGCAAACTTGTGGGACTCACCACACAACCCTAGAAAACTCTCTTATTCCAGGCGATGATGATTACTTCATTTCCCTGTAGGCAGCCAGCCACCAGCGTGCACTCAAACAGCTAGCAGAACTACCCCTCCCACGGCTGAACTGCCATATGAACTAGGATCCGTGCAGTCTGTAAGCAGCAGCAGGGGTGGCCCTAGACTAGCTGCCAGCAACTGGCGCCCTAGGCAAACCATGCAATCGGCGCCCCCACCTCCAAACCCCTCAATGATATTGTGCCACCATTTGGTGCCCCATTTAACTTGGCGCCCTAGGCGACCGCCTATTTGGACGGGCCGCCCCTGAGCAGCAGCCTTACTCAGGGAGCTGGAATGGAGCCTGGCCCAAAGGAACCAAGCCTGGTTTGGGTGGCAGGAGACAACCTGCTGTTATTTAAGAATCAGCTAAGCTTGTCTCAGACAGGAGCTGCTCTCATAGCATTTCATAGCACTCGCACTGAGGCAAAGCGCTTCCCAACATGTATCTGAGGGTTGTTCTCATTCATTCTAGCGGCGTATAACAAGCTATTCAGGACAGAGGGACTTTCTGTCTCCACAGCCAAAATCCCCAGTAAAGGAACAAATAACCAGGCTCTACCCTGCCTGGAATAATAGCTCAGACAGGAGCTGCTCTCATAGCATTTCATAGCACTCGCACTGAGGCAAAGCGCTTCCCAACATGTATCTGAGGGTTGTTCTCATTCATTCTAGCGGCGTATAACAAGCTATTCAGGACAGAGGGACTTTCTGTCTCCACAGCCAAAATCCCCAGTAAAGGAACAAATAACCAGGCTCTACCCTGCCTGGAATAATAGCT